CAGAGTTATAGGAGTTATTGCAAACTTAAGACTGCCATGAACATACGTGGTCTTTACAGGTTTATACAAACTTTAGTTATTTTATAAAACATAATTGATGACCATTTTACATGAGCAGTTCTTCTAACCATACAGGACTGTGAATTTAACAGTACATAGATGCAGATATTAAATCTATGTTCTGCACTAAGTCTAGTTTTACAGAGTTGGTTTTTCTTTTTTTTTTTTAAAGCCAGTAGTATAACTCCACCTCTTTTTGTCCGTTTTTTTGTTTATTCACTGCTGAATTTGACACCCTCTGATTCCTCCATGTTCTTAGTTACTAATTATATTGTCATGATTCAAAGCTGTGTTTCTCTCTGCAGCTTTCTGCCTTCAGTTTTCCTTCCTTCCAGCTGTTTCTGTTCTGTGTCGTGTCAGTATTCTCCTCACTTTTCCCTCAGATTGTCTCTTTCTTTAGCTCAGACTGAGGCATTTCTTTCATCCACAGCTGACAGGGACGATGTTCTCATTTTCATTTTGAGCGTCTTCTGTGGTGGACCCACATCTTGTGGCATCACATCTGGAGACGCAGTCTGTATTACTTGAATCTCTCAGCAACGTCATCGCTCATCTGCCAAATGTCTCGGCTCATGTTGTGCTTTGCGCAGCGCGGCCATATTTCCGGTAACATTTCGTTCCGCTACCCCATCTGGCGTTGGCGCTTGCTCCTCTGTTCGGTTGCCAAAAAGCTGTGTTTGGATGCATGTTAAGCATAAGAAACAGACGTGAATGCCCAAGCAGCTCATCAAGCTTGTCCTTTCGTACACTTGCTGAAATGCAGAAGAGATGTTTTTTTTTGTTGTCACTGATGCAGATATTCTTCACTTGCCAAGTCCAGTGAATGCACTGGAATGTCTGGCCCACACTGGTGCAGACACAGTTTAACACACTAGGCAGTGTTTTTAATACCGTAGAAGAAAAGAGACTCAAATGTCCTCGTGAGCACTTGTTTCCACAGCCAATACAAATAGTGTCTGCTTCGTCGCTGATGTAGAATCAAGCATTTATAAATAACAAATAAGACCAGTTGATGCACAAAGTTAAACATGAGTGAATCTGGAAAAGTTGGGATGAATGTAGAAAACAGCTGCATTAGTGAGAAATGAAATGATGAGACTTGATTTAGAAGAAGTTTTCTTTATGATTTTTGATAACCAGATAACTAAGACGTGTCTTTACCAAACCACATGTAAAACATATGGAAAATAGATCTTTTCCTATTAAAACCCACTGTTTATTGTTTCCAGACAGTTTTTATCTGCTTTTATTTTTATATTTCAAAGTGTAGCTTCACCCTCAGCTCTGAGCATCAGACAGGAGGAGTTTCTCAGTGACTTCACCAGAAACAAACGGAGCATGACACAGAACCTCAAGGTTCCTGCACAGAGGATGGAGGTCTTTGTCCCTCCACAATCCACTGAGGTGGACGTTACTGTGGTCGACGAGCATGTTGGTGCCCATCTGTTGGCTGCAGCTCCACTAATGCTGCTATCGGGGACCGTCCTGCCATCTGCAACCACTGCTGAACCATATGAGGGTTTGAAAGGAAATAATGCAGTCCAGTGGTTCATCTAACACCATCAGCATCGCAGCACCAAAGCTTTACACCAAAATTAATTAATACTAAGAAGATTATTAGCACAAAATAACATAAACTCCTCATGCTGAGTTCTGATCAGCATATGTTTGAAATTAAACATCTCTATGTTAACATTCCTTTTTAAGATAAAATCAAGTTTTGATCATGTTAACATGTTCATATGTTTTGTTGTATATTCTTGAGGGTGTGTTATGATCTAGATAAGCAGTCAGAGCCATTGTTAAGCATTTCCACCTTGAAGGGCGATAAAAAAAAATGGATTCAGACTTCGAAAATTTCCTGACTTAACAAACTGAAGAAAAAACAAATCATGTCTGCTTGCAGGATGGGACTTTGTGTACAATTATTTGTCTTCAGAATGGGTTTAAATAATAATCAGTTCCAGTATTAGAGCTCGTACAGCGTCAATACAGTGAAGAGTTATATCTCAGCCATTTCAAGGGAGGAGGGGGTTGTTTTTATGGAACAATATTCTAAATATACAGTTCTGACAAACAGAGTTGAGTTTTTCAGTGTTAATTTCATGACCTAACAGATCTTAGATGTCTGACCATCACTTGCTTTTCAACCATCAGGGTGATTTAAAACTTCAGTATGAACACCAACATCAATGTGTTTCATCTCGGTACAGTAATGTTTTTGTTGGCAGCTCAAAAAGACATGTTTAAATTAGAGATGCGCCGATCCGGTACTGGGTATCGGTATCGGGCCAATACTGGACGAAATTCCGGTACCGGATGATTTCCTTCACAGTGGTAACTGGCCGATCCGATACC